TGGGTTCGAGTCTCAGTACCATCACCATGACCAGTAAAATTACGACAACAACAATCATAATAAATATTTGTGATTAATCAATCACACTGATCTTTCAGAAACATAGTCCGTTTCCTAGGAAAACACAGAAGGCAAACATTCAAGCTTTTTCTGACTATCCAGACGCAGAGAAGGAGGGAGGCTCAAGGGCCCTCTCATCAAAGGTCCTGTAGCTTGCCCTGCTTTCTCCACAGAGAACCACGGTGACAGAATGCAGAACAAGTGACCAGCACCCAAAGGCAGATGCCGGAGACAGTCCTCCAGCTTCCTGGCAATGCCTCGCTTGAAAGGAAGAGAGAAGGTAGACAGAGCTAAGAAAAGGCCTATTCTGAAACACAATTCCCACCAACAGGAATGCCTCCCTGCCTATTGTCTCCAGCAGAGAGTCATGCATGGAGAACATGGCACCCCACCAAGGTGTGTAATTCAGGGTCAGGTCTCTACTTTCTGTGACCTCTGTGTAGTGCAGTTGATTGATGTGATTTACCACAGCCTTGCTTTCTAGACAAGGAGTAACAAGCATGGAGGGACACTCAAAGGGCAGAGTGTGAAAAATGCAAAGATAACATGCCCGGGAAAACCATGAAAACAAACCCAGAACGAAGGCTCTTTTCTTTTCGTTTTTAGAAAGGATTTTGGTCAAAATGTAAAACAGGTCAGGTCAATGTCTGCTTTTTGTTTTATATGTAAAAAAAAAAAAAAAAAAAAAAACAGCTAGGACCTGATGTCAGGAGTCCTCAGGGTCATGGGTGCATGGGGCATACAGAGGTTTATGTAAAGTCGGGTGCCCAAGTGTCCTCTCAAGTTGGCAGAGTTTAGAGGTTTACACAAACTCTTGGTCAGAAGCTCACAAGACTACATATCCAGCCAAGGCTGGACTTCCACCAGAGGACTGCAAAGTGTGTGTTCACGCTGCTAAGCAGCACTGCAGACAACTTCTTCACAAGAATGTGATTTGTATTCCCCACCCCCTAGACCCTCACTCACAGTTGAGGCATCTCCTTGTATAGGAAGGAAAATGCGAGACCCCCAACAAAGTCAGGTGGTGTGTCTGTCAGAACAGGTACCCAACAGGTAAGGCAGAGGGGCCAGATTGCTGATGTGTGCCTCAGTGTGGAATGTACACCTTGCACACTCCAACAAAACAAGGAAAAATGTGTTCCCCAAAGATGCCCAAGTGGGACACTAGGTTATGGGAAGGTGCAATAAAACATGAACCTCGTGTGGATAACTGCGGCCTTCACACAAACAGAAAGCCATAAGGGGCGGGGGAGCATTACAAACAATACAAAATCTGGGCCCCAGGTCACCTGCTGGTAGGATACACCTTCTACTCCCTATCAGCTTCAGCTACTTTTCTAGCGGCAGAACAACCTGTCCCAGGGGCCGTGGCAGAAGATAAGCATTCTGGAGGCACAGCAAGCAATGTGGAAGGCCACAGCGACAGCGTACCTCAGAGGTGAATGAAGCAAAGGGCAAATAAGGCCTGGTGGCCAAAAGCAGGCTGAGCTAGTCAACCTGTCCACCTACACGTGACACACAGAGCAAGTGGCTCCTTTCAGGCGTGTGTTGTAGCTGGGGGATGAGGCTCCATCACAAGTCTCCATCACTGGATGAGGCGCTACTACTGAACTGTGTTGCTCAGGTGCATCACAGGGGACCAGGACCCCTCTTCTTGTAGAGCTCACCATGAGAAAGGCAGAAGCCGAGGGGCAGGTTGCCGCAGGGCCAGCTTCAGTGAGGAGCAGAGGGGATCAGCAAAGCAGGGACCTAGGAAAGAACTGTCGGAGCTGAGAGGACACCCAGCCATGAGGGAAGGAAAACAGAAAATGTCTTCATCTTCTGCTTTGCTTTCGAGCCCAAACTAGGAACCCCAGCTGTGTTTACTGAATGAATGTGATGCCCCCAGTCAAAGATCATTCAAGAAAGAAACTCATTCACTGCACAGGCCAGGGTGTTCTAAACAACTGCATGCAAAACGTAATGGTAGAAGGTCCGTTGTTCCCGAGAGGAGCTCCTTAATCAGATGTTCATATAGGCTGTGTTTTGTTGGTGTTGACGTTTCCTGAGCATTGATTATGTACCTGGCACTCACTAGCTTAGCTCCATAGCTTATCTTCATGCAAATGTTGTTTCCTTTAACCCCACAACTAAATTTCATAGTCTTCTCTCGACGGGAAGGAATACACTTCAAAGAAAGAGAAAGGTGGATTCCCTTGCACCAGGAGGAACTGCTCATAAAGAGTCTACTTTGGCCCAGAGTTGAATGACAGTCTTCTCTGAAATACAGAGGGATAGCCAGGAGCATAGGTGTTTGGGAGGCAGAGTCAGGAGGATGGCCAGAGCTTAGGAGTTCAAGACCTCCTCTCAAACATGAGGCAGAGAAGGGGATGACTGTGGTTATGGAGAATCAACAGGATAAAAGAAACAAGGTTAGCATGCACACGGGTCCAAGCTTCCTCTGTCTACATCACTGCCCATCAACAGGTGTCATCCAGGTGTCCAGAGGAGAGAACTATGCACAGTTCTTAGGGCTTGAAGAATAGTGGCCTTATAAATGAGAGAAAGAAAACAGAGAACTCAAAGGAAGCCATATGAGATGGAGGGGGTCCAAAGAAAAAAAGACAAGACTGAAGAAGTCTATTATGTAAGAGGAGAAAAGAGAGGGGAGAAAAGAACCCCCTTTTCTTGCCGCCACACAATTTTCCACTACAAAGGCTCTGGAAATGAATACAGATACAGCTCTCTGTAACCAACACAGGAGCTGCTGACCTCCCACGTCACATGAATCATATTTAAATGAGACTCTGAGGCTAAAGTTCCTAGAGTATCTGATGAATGTTTAGTACAATGCCCTCCTGGTGACCCCCTCCTTCCACAGTCTTCCCAACCTTTCAGTCATTCCTAATTTCTCATGTATGTCCAGGCTCATTCTTTCTAATATTTCCGTGTACGCTATCATGGGTCTCTTCTCAAATCCTACTAAAATCTTTCATTGTTCTCTCTTTCCACATATCAAAAAGAAAAATGAAAAGGCTATTAAAAATCTCACTGCTCACCAGAGAAAAGAAAGCATGGCAAATAGTGCAACACCTTACAAAATAAGAGAGTCATTTTCCTGTAAGTCTTATTCCTTGACTGGGTATGACAGCCGGAGAAACTTACACCGGATAACAGTTATAAAATATAATTTTGCTTAGAAGCTATTTTCACCAAGTCTTTTTTGTCAGTAATTATGACCTGGAACCCTCAACTCCACCTTATGAGTCATCTCTAATTCAACTGAGCTATTTGTTTATGGTTCTGCAGCCCTTTGTATTTTGGGTGCAATGAGGTCATTTTTCTTCTTAACTGAACCTACTTAACTGTTTCTAACTTTAAAAAGAAAGAAGTCAGGAGACCAGAGAGAGAGGAAGAGTTAAACAACTAACAGCACTGGATGCTCTTCCAGAAGACTTGGCTGCAATTTCCCCAACACCCACATGGTAGCTTCCAACTTCATGTAGCTCCAGTTCAGGGGATCTGGTGCCCTCTATTGACTTCTGTGGGCACCTGCATGCCTGTAATGCACACATACAGTCACACACACACACACACACACACACACACACACACACACACACACACACACACATATAAAATAAAAAGAGAAGTTAGGTCAGAAAACATGTTATTTGATGGAGAAAAAACAATGACTTGTTTATCTTCCGTCTACTAAACTAAAATACGGAAGAAATGCAGTAATTTGAAAATTGTATGTGCCTAGAATGCATGGACAGTTCAAGCCTTTTTGGTCTGCTTGCAAAAAAAAAAATGCTTTTAACTTACTGTAATTTTAAAAAAACCACATTATTTGTTCCTATTAAATATAGTATCCCTTTGGAGTCCAATGCGGGAGGCATATCTCAAGTCTGTTCTTTGATACCACATTTTCCATCTTGTTTCCCAGTGCTAAAATAAATCTGCCTCTTAATTCTTATTCCGTCTTTCATCTGGGAAAGCCTGACGACACAGTACGATCAGAATTCCTTCCAGAAACCTCCTGTGCAGCCCCCATCCAGCTCTGTTCAGTATGCAACCACAACTCAACAGCTTTATCTGTTTAATGTACCTAGTTATTCCTTTCTAAGTCTCTGGGGGTGGGAAAAAAGACTGCATCCCCTTCACATACACCCCCCCAAAAAGGGGGGGGGGCGAGATTTTCTAGTGAGTAACGGTATCTAACAAAACAGACCACACGAAAGCTGAACAGGACGAAGCTGTCTCGGTGAGAAACTGAATAAAAGAGAATCTACCCAGGAACAGCTGTGTCCACGCCCAAGCATGCACCACCTCCAGCACATGGATTTTGAGGGTAGCTTCCATTTAAGACAAGTAGCCAGTGAACCCGAGTTTCTCCTCACAGGGCCAAGCAGACTCCAAGCATTCTGCCACAATGGCACTGTCCTTTGGGGAACAGAAGCTTCTTTCCTTTTATGCTAACCCCAAGCCTCAAGAGGAAATTAAGGGGCAGATTCTAGGTTAGAAAAACAATGGTTTCTTCTCCGCTGAGTTCTGTGGTCACTTTAAGACCCTACATTTTTCCATGCAAACCACATTAACATTAAATATGCTTATACTAGACTTACCCTTTGCTTTCCCAAAGCAGTAACAATCCCCAAGAACAGGACGCCTGCGTTAATTCAATGGCCACTGTAATAATAGTGTTTAATGATACTCACTAAACAGGCTCTCAGACACCATCTCCCAATTCATACAAACTCCCAACCACACAGAAGCAAACTTCCAGCCATGTCATGATTGACCAGACTTTTATATACACTATATATCAGTTCAGGTCAACTTGCCAACATGGCGCCTGCTCAAAGCTTAACGTCCTGGCTCAAATCTAAGATTTTACTACTTAAAAAAGAAACTAAAACCAAAAGGTCATTAAATAACCAAACACTCATCATGCTGACCTGGTTGCTCAGTGTCTGCTTCAGTTTTTGAAGAACCCGGTGCCACGGGAAGAGGTCGAGGGGGCCGGGGCTTCGGAGTGGGAGGGGAAATTCTTTTCCTTCCGATATACTCAACGTAAGTTCCTGGAAAGTCTCCCCTCTCCCCGGTGGTCTCATTGTAACCATTTAACCAACCGATATCTTCAGGCCGGGCTTCCTGTCCATCAGTGAATCCAAGGGCCACTAAGGACCCTTTATTCACAGTCAGGATGTCCCCCAAGTGCAGGTCGATGTCCTCTTCTCGCTCCTTCTTGTAGTCATACAGGGCTCTGTACTGGTAACCCTCAGCACTCATATTGGCAGCTCCGTCACCCTCCAAAAGAGGGGGCTGCTTGTACACCGCAGTCTGAGTTTACGTTTGGAGGGAAAGTGAGTTCAGAGAATGGGCTAAAACCCCCAACAGGTGGCCAGCAGAGGACGAAGGACCACTATCCAAAGGCTTAAGAGAGGTGACTGGCCATCCGGCTGTCCATCTGTCCTCCATCAATGGTGTGACTGAAGACACGGCTCTGCTCCCTCTGCGCGCCACAGTCCTCCCTGGTGTTTTTTTCAGCGACTTGTCAACACCTTGACTCCGGGCTGACTCTCACAGCGAGGTCCAATCCTCTCTGACGTTCCTGTCACGCCGTCCATCTGTCGTCTGATTTTACTGTCCCGCTCCACTCTCAGCTTCACCTAGCAAAGCAAAAACAGGGCTTGTGAATGAACCTCACACTTCGCCATCTGTGGGGATTTGAATTTCTACTTCCATTCAACAAGTACTTAATCACTCCGGCAGATGACATACACAGGCCAGTGTGCTGCTGCTTGACACAGTATACAAAACCCAAGATTAGCAAGCCAGTCCCTGCCTTCTAAGAACACTGGGCGGGACAGGAGTCGACGTGCTAACATGTGGCAATGTTCTGGAGATAAAAACTGGTACACAAGGAACCAAAACATTAGGTAACGGCCATAATAGCCGCTGACACAAAATGCCACGGGGTTCAAGTGAGAGACCACATCGAATTGCAGGAATCTGCAGACAGAATGGAATGTGTGGCATGATCCTGGGCACAGACAGACCAAGCAAATGTCATATTATGGAAAGAAGCGCAGGCCGTCTCACCCATCAGCAGACAGAGAGGGAACAGCAAACCTGGGCTGGGAAGACAATAAGGGCCACCTGAAATGCACACGTGCACAGTGAGTGTAAGTCCGTCCTCTACAGTGAGCCTCGCATGGTGATGTTGGGGACGCAGTCACTCAGGAAGGCTGCACTCAAGGAATCTCAGTCTGACCTCAGTGCCCACCAGGGACTGACTGGCACAGAGAGAAAATGGAGGTGAAGGCTGCTGAGAAAGGTGAGGACAGAGACCAGAGAGGCAGCAGCAGGTATGTAAAGATGCAAACTGAAGTAGTACAGCATAAAAGGGGAAGGGTGGAAGGTGAAAAATGCTCACGGGCGGAAGCAAGAAGGACCAGTGTTTGATCCTGGGTTGCTGACAATTCCATATCAATAGCAGGCAAAGGAAAGTCAAGAGACCTGATGGGCTCACGGGATCTAGACCTCCACTGCAGATGTGCTAGACCTCCACTGCAGATGTGCTAGTGACCGGCCAAAAACTCCAGCTGAAATCAGGAGTACACCTGAGGTTTCGTAATGAGCTTTGAATGAAGTAGAACTGATTTCAGTGGGATGGGAACCATCACTGACTTTCTGGGATGCCAGACTGCAGGCCAGCAATGAGGAGAGCAACTAGATCTTAAGGACTTAAGATATGAAAGGAAGTAGCCATGCTGCGGAAGCACTATGTAAAACAGGCTTGGGGGAGGCCAGGGTAATGAGAGCCGTTTTCTTTCAATCGCCAAGCATAGTGGGTGCAGAGCAATTGGAGAGCCAAAGTTAAGAGAACTTTGGTCACCATGGATGGCTGACAGGACAGCATGCAGCATGGATCCACGCTGCCCCTCATTTATTTCTCAATGTTACCTTTACTGCAGAGACTAAATTCTAGCTAAAGGTCTCAGTTCACCAACCTGTACAATGAAGAAATACAAACACCGCCACACGAGCCTGTGTCAAAGAGACTTTCCTACGTTTAGAAGAAACACTTTAGCAGTGGAGTGTTAGAGGCACTCGTCAGTGTAGGCATCTTAAGAAACACAATCTAGCCACAGATTAATTGTTATGTTGGCATTCAGAAGTGTAAAGTATTCAACTTCACATGGCTAAAGCCTCTTAGCTTTATACAATAACACTCTAAGGAGGGCTGCATATTAAAAGGAAGTAAAAACAAACACTGGAAATCTTTGTGTAGCAAGAATATTAATTTGGGATAGTACTCTACTTTGCATTTCAGGCATCAGAGGGAAGAAAAATTAATGCAGCCAGTGGAGCGGATGAGAAAAATAAGCTATATTACGTTTGAAGAAAACCTCTCCTTCTGAAAGATCCAGAATCAAATTAAATATTCATTGCATAAATTCACACAAAAATGTAGAACTAGCAAATCTCATTTTTTTTTTTTTTGGTACTAATGTGCTCTGTACAAAAGAGACACAGAGCTCCAAAGAACATGAACATTTACATATCCCTAAAAGCTTGGAAACCAGGCAATATGCCTAAGAATAATTTAATTCCTTCAAATCTGCCCTGAAATTTTTGTTAGCTTTTTCTGGCAATGTATGTCTTTTAGGGGGAGGGGAAAGCCCTAAGTCAGTAGCCAGGGCAGATCTTTCTGCCAGCTGGTGCCTTGCACTTCCTCAATTTCAACCACCCAGAGGACCAGTTTGGTGGGATTCTCAGTAGAACAGGAAATACAATGCCTCCAGCCCCCAGCAAGCATGAAACAAGGCCTAGCACACAGCACAACAATATAACTAGGCAGGTTCCACACCAGCGACTCCGAAACTGCTCCATGCCTTTGCAGGGCTCTCTGAACCTGAGAGCCTCTTGAGTGTGCCTGGGGCTAAGTCCACAGGAGGGAGTACAGCTCTGGGAGGAGTCTGATAACTGTAGGAGGCTAGATTCTTGAGAAGCAATCCCCACCCTGTGTGCCGAGACCTCCCTCGAAAATTGGGCCAATGCTCTCTCCCAGCCAGTGTCAGGTGAATCTTAAAAACTCTGCAGAACTCCAGGTCTCAGTCTGATAAAGGAACCCCAGATATCTTAAGACTCGGGGACTGCAAGTAGAGTACCAGGAAGATCAATGCAGACGGTTAAGGTTGGCTGTCAAGGTCAGCAGCGACTGTCAGTGAAGCAGTCTGAAGGCAATGTTGTAAAAAGAGAGGGCGAGTACACCAGTCATTTATTTGGGTGGGGACCTGGTCACGTGGCAACAAGGTTCAGAGAGACCTTGGCTGGGCACAGAGAGCACAATGCAGCCCTCTGCACACTTTCTCTGGCCTGCCATACGCATTTAAATGAGGCAGTGTTGGCACAATCATCAGAACATGATACGTAGTGGGAGCTGTGCCTACATTAACCCATTCCATCCTCGCAATAACCAAGGTGTTGTAGATATTCTCACGTGACAGATGGAGGACGTTTAGTACCTCGGGCATAACCGCACTCAGCATCAGCTGTAGACTAAATTCAGATGCAGCCAGTGTGTGGAGCCCCCACTTTTGAGACCACCGTCACTTACTTCTGGACTCCCTGAGCTAAGATGCCCAGGGGCAGCTTAGGCACTGCAGGAGCATCAACAATGCAGTGTCTTACCTGCTCTGGCTGTTCCCCCAGGAGAATTCTGTGGATCTGCCTTCACAGCAGCCACACAGGTACGTGCGGCTGGCTCTCTAACACACAGGCACAAAAAGAAGCCAAGATAAGTGGTCAGCACTCCAGCCAAATGCAGGACCCAGCGCCTCAATCATGCAAATGCATCCTTGCCTACGAAGTCCATAAATTAGTGACTAAAAGGCTCTTGAGTACATCGCTTCTGGAAGACTGCCCACTTCTGGAATCCTGCCCTTCCCTGTCCCCTACCAATGCAGCTTCTGCCACCTGTATCCCTCTTGGCCAGTCTGCCCTGTGCTGCTCTCCTGGGCCCCACATTGCACAATTTCTAACAACTTAGCTCCTCCCTGGGGAGATAAGGGAAGCATCCATCCAGAGTCACAAGGGCTGTCACATCTAGAGGACTGGCAGGCTCTCCCTTAAATTGTCCCCAGGACTGCAGACCACCCAGCAGCCGGGATCATGAGCACCTGTGTGAGCCTCCTGACGTCAATTTGGAGTTTTGACAGAACAGGTATTTCCCCACTTTCACCAAATTATGCCTCCCATTCTCTTGGGCTACAAACACCTGCCCAGCAAACTTATTTCGATCCAGATTCAGAGCAAAGGTCATTTTATGTGTGGATAATAGTCATCGCCAACAAACTATTATTTGCAGGTAACTCAGGCAACTTTATGATATAAGCTAAGGCATGTATAGGATACTGTATACTCCCCCCCAAAAAAGCATAAAGGAATTCTGTGAAGAAATTAAAAAATAACTTATTTTTTATACAAGACCACATGCAACTGCCCACAATTTCCTTATGGGAACTATTTGGCTCTGGTCTTTCAACCCTACGCATGGCTGTCTACGGTCCCACTCACTGGATGTAAAGTTTCTTTCCCTGCTAGCATACTGAGCAATTCTCATGCAATTTGCCCAGATAAAATTGTTCCTAGTGCTTGACAGATAACAATCCCTGACTGCTCGATGTGCAAATGGCTTGAAAATAGTCTTTTTTTTTTTTTTTTTAGTTTAACCTTCTAACCTGCAGGCACAATGAGAAAGAACCAAAGTCTCTGAAAAACCCTCCGGTTTTGTTGACTTACTCTATTCACCTTTTACAAAGGACAGGATTTGGGGAACATAATGGGGAGGCAGAAATAAGGGACCTCCTCAAATTGCATCTAAAACAACAACAAAAAAGATATCTACTCGTGCATTGCCATCCTGTGACATTAGCAGTGTGACTCTGGGTGGTGGCACCAACAGGGTCTATAGTCAAGCCCTTGTCTTGACTACACCACCATGTGTAACCCTTTGTCCCTTAACATGCGAGCTCAGCATCAAGGATACATGTCCCACCTCCGCTTACACAGTCTTTTGAAACACAAGAACCATGACTTGAAAATCTGTCTACCTTTCACAATTCTGGAAGTTAGGAGCCATTAAAACTGACTGAGGTCCTGGGCAAACACTGTGTTTTTATATGTAAAGTGACGAGACCGAACAGCCTCAGTTAAAAAAAGGATGGATGGAGGAGGTGTGCTCAACTTGAGTCCAATGCTACAGGCATCTAATATCTCCATTCCTTTCCAGACCGACAGCTAAGCAGAATGTGCTGCCTGCCACCACCCTCCAGGCTGGGTAGCAAATGTGGGTAGGTAAGGTGTGAAGGCTGTAATTCTTGCCTGCAAGCCCTTTATGGGGCAGCGAGTACACACCCAGGTGACACTTTAAGAGACAGGACTGCAAAGCAGTTACAGCCCCGGTTCCCGGAGCACACCAAGAAGGAGAGGAGAGGGCTACCCGGGCCCACCCACAGCAGCCCTTCTAGACTAGAGAGAGGGGGGTCATGATAGAGAGAGGGCTAGGACTAAGGGCCGTGTGACTAAGAAGAGATCCTCCCATTGAGAAGAGGCTATGAGGCCCATATGCCTGGGTCCCTGCACCATGACAGTAGAGATTGAAATGGTAGCCCTGGGGGGAATGGACAAAGGGAGGTGCCCTAAAGTGTCTCTTCTTATGAAAAAAAAAATGGTCCTTAAAATTCATGGCAGGAAGAGTGGATTCTCTGTTGCAGCTAACAAGGGTTGCCCTGACCCATGCCTAGATCTGTAACTATTGGCAAGTCACTGAAGTCTCCCTCCGGCATCATTTCATCACCTGTGAGGCCGGTGGAAGAAGCAGACCTATACCTCGCTAGGTCATTATGAGGATTAAAGGCAATTACGCTCACAAAGCATGTCGCACCATGCTTCTCAGTACAAGCTTAATATAATTAACCCCAACTCAGTGCTCGCCGTGTGCCAGGCACAGTTCTTGGAGTTTTGCATGCACCCTTGCAAACTGCTGTAGCTCAATTATCAGCCCCATTTTGCAGATGAGAAAACAAGCAAAGTTAAACAGCGTGACCGAAGTGACAGTCAACTGCAGGGATGGCATTCTCGTAACTGCTCTTAGGAACAATAGGTCTTCGAGCAATATCAGCATTGAATGTCACTGCCGTTTACACAAATGCAGATTTAAAACAGAAACAGACAGGTGCCAGGAATTTTCTCTGTGCACTGCCTTTCAATGCTGCAAGCAGTTCTAAAAGAAGCCTGAAGCTACCTAAAATAAAACCCTGCTGTAAATAGAGTCAGATAGAGCCTGCCTGTGGACTTAGCCCAAGTAATTCTTCTTCCAGACCCAAGGGAGAAAGCAGCTCAGTAGAGGTCAACGGTGTTATGTGGGAGGGCGACATGAATGTGCTTGGTGGCAGGGCACAAGGTGGGAGTCACGACACAGTTGTCTAATTGGGGTTCATGGCTGCTCCCTTAGGCTGCCCTCAGGGAGGAAAAACTGAGCGCAGTAATGCAATGCTCAGGAGAATGAGGGCAGCTGGGTCCTCACGGGACAAGCCCAGCCCTCAAGACCACGGAGGCATTCCGGGATGAAGGCTGGACCACGGGCAAGGCATCTCGCCTCTACCAACCCACACCACCCACTGGTGGAGCCTCCTGACCCTTTGGCCAGGTTCCTATGACTTCAGTGCTCTCCCAGGTGATCATTAACCTGAGAACTATTTTGACTCCAGGTGCTTTATAGGTATACATTTGATTGACTTTCAAGGAAAACCGTGGTGGCGGAACAAAATCTCCAACGACGTTTCTCCAGTCCTTTGTTTTATTTCTTCAGTAAGCTTGTACTACACTTATTCCACATTTCACCAGATAAAGGTATGGGGGTGGGGGTCAGGGGGGTAGCATAAGCCAAACAAACAAGCTATACATAATTACACAGTCTATTTTTCAGTTCATTTAGCTTAGTGTACAAGAAATGGCCTTGAACTGCCACTGCGTCAGGCAAGTGATTTCAATACGAGTATTGGCAAAGGCATGACAAAAAAAAAAAAATCACATGAGGGAGGAGACAAACGAGGCTTTAAAAGGCACAATAAATAAATAATATTAATGCTTTAAGAGTTCATCACAACCCATGTTTCAAGAAGGAGAAAAATGATAGAATTTACACTGTCTCATTTTAAAGTTAAAAACAAAACTGACAGTTGGGTTTGGTGGCACAAGCCTATAATCCCAGGATTTGGGAGGTAGAGGTAAAAGGCTCAAGAGTTCAAGCCAACGTATGCTACATTGGTAGTTCAAGGCCAGTCTGGACTAACTTTGACACTGCCTCCAAAATAATGAGTATACATCACACACACACACACACACACACACACACACACACATACACACACACACACACACACATACACACACACCTGATAATTAATCCCTTCTATTGACAAGTAACTTTCTAGTTTTCAAAGCTTCACCAGGATACTTCATTTCCTGCCTTTGCTGGCAAAGCCCTGTACCTTGCAAGGGGCTCTGTGCTTGGCCAATCTAATATGCATAACGGACTGACAGATAGGGGCTAATTTCTTCTGTGTGTGTTCACCTCATTTATGAGAGAATTAAAAGTTCAAGCAAACGTTAGCTCAGCTCTACTCGGCCATAAACCCCTTTTCCCCCTAGTTGGCTAATTCACTATCTCTTTATCCAATAAAACACATTTTGCAAATCAAAAATGCAAACACAATAAAAGCTGGACCAGGATTATTGCTGCTTTAACAAGTAGGTGGATAATTTTTCAAAGTAAATGCCTTTTACAACACTTTCCTGAAGTACTTAGGAGAAAGGGGGGGGGGGAGGTAGAAAGGAAATTTCAATCAACACTATAACCTTAAAGCTCGTGGTGTTCATGGCAAAACTTTAAAGGAATAGCCAACACTTTAAAGGGTACAAAGTTTGTGCGAGTTGAATAGACTTGCCCTTAAGATTCAAAGCCATTTGAGAATTAAAAGGGGAAAGGAGACAAGAAAAGGTAATGGGGGAGTGGGTATGACTGAAATATGTAATATGCATGTATAAAAATGTCCTAAAAATTAAAAAGAAAAGCAATCCATCAGCTTAGGTGTAATTAACATTTCCAAAAGACACATCATTCAACCCACCACCAACAGCCAAACTACACATTCCTGTAATGTGTTCTATTGCTTAGTTTCCCCATACCAACTTTATACTGGAAATGTATCAAAGACAAAAAAACAAAACAAAACAAAAAAACTAAAGAAAACAACATACTGAATCAGTGGGCAGTGAAATACTTTTTTTACATGGCTACAGCGCATCACAGATGTGAAAAAAGGAGAGTGCTATCATAAAAAAATGCAAATAAAACAGCAGATAACAACGTGCACATGGCAGAGTTGTTATGCAACTAGGAACAGGTCCCAGTGCAAGATGAAAGTTAAAAGTGAACTCCCACAACAGTCTGAGAGGCAGTATCAGCTCCATCCAACTTTCTTCAAATCATAAAACTGACAGATTGCTATGGAAAAGTAGTGTGGCCTGCAACAGGCAACTAGACAGAGGCGGCCAGCGGTGGCACTGCAGGGGAACTTCTTCTGCAAAGCAAGGAGCTTCCCCCTCGGGCCTTCACTGTTTAAACCTGACTTTGAACTACCAGAGGTGCAAGAAAAATCCCGATCGTTTTCTTTGCAATGAGTAAAAACAGTTGTTTCCCAAATTTTAAGCAACTTGTGTGCTTAAGAAAACGACCTGCTTACCATTAAGTGCTTTATCTCAAAAACAGTGAGTGCAGCTATTGGAACAAAACAAAACAAACAAACAGAAAAGCTCATGAACATGTGCTGGTGCCTTGCTCAGTGATAAACGATGCATGGACACCTCACCTATGCAGAAGGCCCTTAAATCTAAGGATTTCTACTTTAGAAATCTACTAATCTGCTAATCCGTGGCAGAAATAACCCCATCTGCCTACTCTTCCAAGCTTTCTTTGCTCATAATTTACCATCTTTAAGGTGCCCAAAACATAGGATAGGTTAACGAAATATTAAGATGTTCTTCCACATGGAGTTTAGGTCAATCAGCTTTGGGAGTGCTCCTACCACCTAAAACTTGAAACTGGATCTCACTGAAATGACAATCTCATGCTACATTCAAAACCCGGAACTGCTTCATCCTTTCCTACTTCGCACTGTCTGACAAAGAGGAAAAAGACAGGAAAAGAAAGGGGAAAAAAATTAAGCCCTAAAAACCATGAAACCACTAAATAAAGCATAGATGCACACCAGCACATTAAGAGAGCCTGCAGCTCCTTCCTCCGAGAATTAACGGTGGAAGTGAGACCTTTCCGGTATTACCAGCGCCGGGAGCAGAATTCCCCTGAATCCAGTGCGGGCTCAGGCATTCAACATGTCACAGCCACTCTGCTCACACCCTTGCGTTATTGTGCGCGAAAGCTGGTTACCAAAACGCATTTCTGTACATGCGTGCCTGGTCAGAGCGTTTCTATTCTCTTTGTCTCGTGATCTGCCGGGCAGTTTCTGCCTTTGGGAAGGAAGTGGCTTGCAGACAATTCCCCCCCTGATATTCTAGCTTAGGCTTGCACGCGGGCCGGCTTTCCCCAGTCGGCCGCATATTGCTGGGCAGGTCCCTCCAGGGTTGCCCCGCGTTAGGAAAAGCTGGATTTCCGGGCGGTGCCAGGATCCCACTCATTATGCCTCCTGCAACCTGCCCAAGCCCGGCGGGCGCCAGACGCCGAGCTAGAGCCCCAGCCACCGACCGCCCCGAGGCGCACTTCCCCCACCCCGGAAGAGGAGGGCGGCAAACTTCGGAGGGCGGGGGCTGGGGGCGAGCTCCGGGGACCCCCGTGGCCCAGCTCGGCCGGCGACCCCGGCTGCAGCTGCCGGGCCTTGGAGGGGACGTCGCGCTAATGCAAAGAAAGCGACCCAGGCGCTCTCCTCGCGCGCTCCCGGCTCCAGGAAGCTGCAGGGCAATAGGGGACCCTCGGAAGCGTGAGGTGACTAAGGAGGAGGGGAGCCGGCGACCGCTGGCAACTCCCGGACCGAATGCGCCCGGCAGCGAGCAAAGCCAGACCCGGGTAGCACCGAGGAAACGAAGAGCAGGAGGTGGTCGCGACCACGCAGGCTAGCCACTGGCCCGAGAAGGCTTCCCAGCGGTGGAGAGATGCTGGCGACTGGGGGTTGGCAGCTGGGTCGCTTCCCCTCGAGTGGCTCGGCAGCAGAAGCGGCTGCCGGTGACAGGAAGAGCAGCGGCCGAGCGCGTTCGCACCGCCTCCCCCTCCCGGGCACACCGGGACCCACCGCCGCCACCTACCTCCGGGGCGGCTCGCTTCCTTCCTCTGCCCCGCCTGGGCTTCAGCGTCCTCTCAGGGTTACAGCTCCCAGGCGCCTGCGATCCAGCTGCGACCCGCCGGCGCTTCGCTGTCCCGGCTCCTGGGCTGCACAACCGTCCTCGCCGCGGCCGCTGCTTCCTTCCAACTCGGCTTCAGCTGCTCGCTACTCCTTGCCGTGCGTGCGCCCTCAGCTCCAGCGCCTGGCGCCAGCCCCGCCCAGGACACGCCCCTCCGCCCCGCCCCCAGACACACACCAATCAGCGCCCGAGACCCCGCCCCCCAGAGCCCGAGCCGCGCCCTCCGCCTCTACCAGTCTCCGGGCAGGCGGGCGAGCGACCAGGGTCCAGGCGCTGTACTCAGTGCCTACCGGCCCTACCCCCACCCTCTCCCCCGCTGCCCTCGCCTCCGCCCCCTGCACAGGGATGCCCCGGGGCGACCGGACGGCGGGCGGGCGGGCGGTCTCCGCTGCGGAGCGCTCTACCTCTGCGCGCTTGCAGCTGGTTCGGCTGCGGGGCGTCTCCCAGGCCCGAAGCAGGGAGTGGAGGTGGGGAGTCCAGGGAGGTGGAAGATAAGTTCAGGCCTCCCAGGGAGCCCGGGCTTGCTACCTAGGAGACCCTGCGTCTTTCGAACCCACTAGAGCTTCAGCACAGTGCCTGGGGTCAGGAGGACGCAGATGCCAACGCTCGCCAAAGAAGGGAGGCCCTGTAATTCCTGGCTTCGCCAGCACAGCTTCCCTAGTGGTCAGAAAAACCGCGCCACCCAGCGTGGCACTCCCGGGGTGAAGGAGGGGTGAAAGGGTGAGCCGGAGCAACGAGTCCCCGCAGCCTGAGGCCGCCTGTAAAACCCTGGCACCGCTGCCTCCCGGACCCAGGCAGGACCTAGGGGAAAAGGAAGAGTTCTGAGAGGAGGGATCTCTGGCGGGCCATGGACCACAGAGCCTATGTAGGTCAGCCAGCCAGCCCAAGGCCCTTTAATGCTTCTGACAGGCTGCAGAAGCGCAAATGAATTCTATGGTTTCTAAAATGTAAAAGTGCACGTCCTTGGAGTAGTAACCACACCTGAAGCTCCTCAAAAACAACAAAAAAAGTGATGTTGGCTCGACCTTCCCATGATATGAGAAGATGTCAGCTCGTGTTTTGTTCTCCTGAAAACGTTCAAGAACTCTTGAACTTTTAAAAAATTGCTCCCAGGATATGGCTTGTTTTGTAGTTCAGGGGTCGGCAGCCACCCACCCTTCCTGCCCTAAAGTTCCTTTTTGCAGCTCTTCTCCAGGGTTCTGGCAAGAATCCTACTTTTTCTTAACCAAGTACTTACTCTTTTGTCAAATTCTCATTTTAGTGTATTAGTGTGAGTGTTGTTGGAAGCAAAGGGGGAAAAATGAATTTCACAGCTGATCCTTAGCAAATGTAATCGCTTTTTAAAAGGTGACTCACATTCTACTAGATCGGAGATCTCCTTGGTACACTATTCAGGTACTAATGCTCCTGTTACTCCTGGTATCTATTGAAGACAAAAGCAGGCACATTTAAGAATCCACTAGTCATGTGGGATGTGGTGACAAACACCTGTAATCCCAGCACTTTGAAGCTGAAGCCACAGAGTCTGAAGTTCAAGGCAGCCTAGACTTTGTAGAATCTCTCTAAAAACTGAGTATGTTAATTTGTGGAGGGAGATCCATCTTATGAGTAGAACCATTCCCTGGGCAGGAGATTCTGGTCTATACCTGTGGAGAAAGCAAACCGAGTATCATGTGTGCACACATTCTTTTTGTTCTTTTCTGATTGAGGACATAACGTGACCAGCTAATTCAAGCTCCTGTGGCTTTGACTTACCCACGATGACAGACCACTTTGAACTATGAGCTAAACCCTTTCTCCTTTAAGTTGCTTTGGTCGGAGTATTTTATCACAGCCATAAGCTACCAGGGTGCATTTGTGGTACTGTGTAAAATGAAGAGCCTTCTGGTAGATGGCAATGATGTGTTTTCCTGTGGTAGAGGTCCTTGGATCTAATCCAAACTAAGATGACTAAAATAATAAAACATTCGCGATGTTTTCCTTAGGTTCACCTCTGAGGAAACTGAAATTGCAGCTGGCTCCTCTTCTTGTGCTCACTAGAGTCTTGGGAAAAGGTTCCACCATAGGTGTCTCTCCAACCCAGTAACAACGCATAATCCGTAATCACTCCCTCTTTTAGACAAGTCCTCAGCAATTTATTGTGCACTTAGACTGCCTTTGACCTGTTTCCATCATAGCTGAACACAACACAGAGCTAATGTCAGAGGGGATCACATGGGAGGAAGATTAATGTATCTCTCCATACACAGCACCAAATAACCTGTCTGCTTCATTTGTGTGTTAAATTAGTACCTTCCCACACATCATTAGTATAGTATTTTATTTTCAGTTCCCATAGATTCTGTGAATTAAAAGCAGTGACAACATAAGATTGGTATTTTATGTGGAGTATGTGTATGTATCTATACATGCTCACATGTGTATGTATGCATGTGTGGGTGCATGTGTCCAGTTGACAATAAAGTCTTCATCAATCACTCTCCACTTTATGAAGCTAGGTCTCCCAGTTGAATCCTGAGAACCCCATCAGATAGTCCAGCTAGCCAGTTGGCACCAAAGATTGCCTGTCTCTACCTCCTGTGCGTAGTGATTACCGTTGAACCCCTATGCCCACCCAGCATTTACTTGAATGCTAGGGATCTGAACTCAGGTATTTACCCTTGCATGACAAGTTCTTAGCCTTTGAGGCTCAGCCTTAAACTTGGGTTTTTTGGTAACCTTCTCTTGAGCAAAATCTTATCTGGAAACACAAAATGTAACAGTTATAAAACAAGAAGCTGATATGATAAGGCAAGGGGCCCATTGTGCCACTTGCCTGCCTTTCTTTTCTACAAAACCTCGAGATACTGGAGTCAGGACCATGAGCACCTCCTTGGAATTTGCTGGAAATATAAATTCTGTGTCTTCACTAAACCAAAAATGTCAGATCAGAGTGAAAAAAGCTGTTTTAGGAAACTCTCCAAGCCATTTGCTGCAACCTGGGGTTTGAGAATGATTGCCCTGGGGTTTTGGGGACATACCAGAACCCACTCCAATAAAATGCTCATATGTCATATAGACACAATGTTCTAGTTTGCTTTCTATGGCAAGGATAAAGACCACCACCAAAAGCAACTTTAGGGGGAAAGAGCTAATTTCATTTTATATCCTACAGTCCATCATAAAGGAAAGTCAAGGCAGGAACTGAAGCAGAGGTCATGGAAGAATTGTTTGTGGCTTGCTCCCCACTGATCCCTTGGCTTTCTTTTTTATACAATCCAGGACCCACCTCCACAGGGTGATATCACCTATAGTGGGCTAGGCCCTTCCACATCAATGATTAATCAAGAAAATGTCCCTCAGACTTGCCTACTGGCCAATATATTCAAGGTATCGTCTCAGTTGAGATTCCCTTTTCCCAAAGACTCCACCCTGTGTGAAACTGACCAAAAAAGGAAGAAGAGAGAAAAAAAATGCAAAAACTAACCAGCCCACACAGTTCAACTGGTACTGGTTAAACTTGGCCTTGGCGTTGACTGGTGCTTAAAAGTGTCAGAAGATGTGCAATTCCCAACAGGGATACAGGAATGTCACTTACAATGTATAGCAGCAAAGATGGTTTGGAAACCAGAGTCCATCAAGGACCTCCATTATAGAGACAAAACAAAGTGAGATAATATCCTCAACAATCAAAAGCCGGCAGGAGGCATTTACTGGCCATCTGTACTCCAGCCACTGCTGTAGCGGTGATGTTGGAATATGCTTCCATATTGGGCTGGAAATGTGTGTGGATTTTAGGGATTCAACAACGAATACAAATGTCCTGGAGTCTTGCTCAACATGAGGCCCACAGACTAGCAGCACTGGCAGAATTAAGGGCATGTTAGAAATGCAGAATACGAGATCTTATTTTAGACCAACTGGCTCACAAACTGCAGTTAACAAGATGGCCAGGTGATACATATGCAGGTTAAATGATGTGCCTAAGTGGCCCTCAATTTGGATCACACAGCAAAATTGCCTAGGGAGTTTACCAAAATCCAGGATCTGTCCTGTATGTACTATATAAGATGTAACATATAAAATGTGTAGAGGTGAGCCATGAGCATCAGTTATTTTTAAGCATCCTCACATAACACCAAAGTGAAGCCAGCTTCTGAGAACCACTACCGTGGAGAACGCAAGTAGAAAAACCGTCTTCAGGAATGCAGACAGGTGTCGAAACATCTGATCTCATGAAGAGCAACTGATGCTGGAGGCTAGACACTAAGCCCAGGTTTTCTAAACCTTTCAGTTTTCAGAGAGTCACTGGAAATTTATGTTTGTGGGAAATATCCCAATTATTACATGGTGGCAACTAAATCATTGGTTTTGATTTTTGTTTTTTTAAATGTGGGTTAAGCCAAGAGTATGATGGTGACCACTTTGTGAATTTAAATTAAATAAGTTAGGTCAAGGGTGTTCAGGTTGTTCCAATGCTGATCTGAAGATGCAGGTATCCCACATCTTCTGCTCTTCAATACCATGGACATTGTAGGCACTTGATGACTCAGAGTTAGTGACTGGTGAGGACCATGGCTTATGGTCTTGGGATCAAACATTATGGCCTTTTGCCTAGTACTTTTCTTTCCCCCTTTTCCTGTCTGATAGTTGAAAAATACTTGGGGTGAATCCAAACTCTTATGAGTATCTAGGTTAAATACATATTATACAGGACTCTGAAAGAAATCATTGACCAGGATGCTTAATATCAGAGTAAGATTTCAAGAAGCTAGCATTCCTGTCATTCTCATTTAGTGGTAGTGAGCCTATAAAAGCTATTACACACAAAGTTCTGAAAGAGGGGACCTCCCACTGTATTCTAGAGAACGAATTGATGCATAGTTGCATGCTTACAGATCCCTGATAATGGCGTGTGCTCCTGTGAACCTTGGCTTTTTGTAAGTGAGTATATTGTGCATGAATGCATATATGATACTGGGAATGGAACCCAGGGCTTCATGTTTTGTGACTGACCTCACAGGTATGAAATGGAAGTGATGAGGCACTCTAGTGAGCATTTCAATTACATTTTGCCCAATATTTTCTCTTCAAACCATCTTCAGTAAGAAGGTAGACTTCG